ATATTTCCCTACATGTAAATAATGAATGCACTGTTTTGTCAAACAGATGTACAAAAAAATAATTTCAAAAAGTGTACCGTATGTTATTTCGTGACACTTACCATTGGGTGGGTGTGGGAACTGCAGATCAGCTCTTGTAATAGAGTCAACTAAAATAGCGTTGTCATGTGCACTACCTTCCTATTTGGAATTAATAAATGTGAACAACATGTCGAAGTCGCAAGCAGCGAGTACATTTTGCGATACCGTAGATTTGCGACCGCGGAATGTATTTTATCTTGAAGCAGGGGCTCATGCATCCACCAATGTGCCATCGATAGCACCGACACAATCCTAATTGAAAGATATTTGTTTGACATTAAAAGCGAAACAAACTTGGATATTACTTATGCAAACAGATCCAAAAAAATATCGTCCCTTATTGTTATGTAGAACTTACAGGACAATCATTAAATTCTTACCTTGAACCAGGGAAAAAACCTCCTGTCATTTAAAATTTTTGCCGATATCTTGTCTTGGTTATGTGGTTTGATAACCATTGATGCAAGCTTGCACAATGCCCGCAGAACAATTTTTATGTGCTGACAAATTATTTTCGTGGAGTGTTGAAATCTATCTGTCAGTAGTCGATGGTGATCATTTTGTGCAAAAGTGTATAAAAAAAATCCAAGCAATTCCTCCACACTGATATGCATATGTTCAGTATCGATAAAGCTATTTTGGAGTAAGGTGTCTTTCAATAAAATGAATGTTTGTGCATCCATTCGCATAATGTCCATCGTTGTTTCTGGATGGCTATTTAATAAGCTGAAGATGTAATCATCACCTTTGAATGGACAAGTTCGCTGCGATCGGCGACTACTTGACACGTTGATATGGTCATGCATGAAAGCAATCATAAAGAAATCCATAAAATCTTCAATAACCTCATCCTCCTCTAATGAGATCTCCATTGCATTGTTTTCTGTATCGGATGACATATGGTTTCGTCTACATCACAGTAAAAGCATAATTATAAAATAATGTTTGACAATATCGTAACGCTTACCATTATTGGTGAAACTGAATTAAAAAGTGGCTACATCAATAGTCGGTCGTAGTCATTCACTAGCATCCACTAAAATGTATACGAGAAGAAAATTTGTTTAATATGTAGGCATCTTGTAATAACATAACATAGTTTTAATAAAACTAAAACTACTTAAAAGTTCAATAAAATTAAACATACAAAGAAGGAAAAGAAAGAGCATCTCATGGAATGAAAAAAAATGATAAAAAACAAATCAGGAATCATGAAATCATCTTGCAGAACGAAAAGGAGATTCGCTAACACAATCAAAACACAAATTCTCACTTCACTGCAAAGCGAGGATCATAGCTAGGCGCACATGGATAGGAGTACGCATAAAAAACCTTCGCCATTCCTTGTCTTTAAACAGTGTCGGTGCCCTAACGTACTGTACTGGTGGTATGTCCCCAAGCTCTAGCAATGCATCTTGACATGCATCAAGGGAATACTTATCACCACCTGCACTTACAGCCTCTGTCTCATTTTCTCGTGTACGTGAATGTTCTGTTTTTGCCTGTATGTAAGATGTGAAAGCTGCGCACACATCATCGAACTCACTTGACTGTGACTTTTTGGAATGACCACTGTCAGTTTGGTTGCTTGTAGGGCCCCTCTTGTGACTTTTGCCCTTCCCTAGATCCATGTACTCATCGCCGAATAAGTCAACAGGAATGGCTTTAGTAGCATTACTCCCACTAACTTCAGGGTTCCAAAATTTATTTAGCATTTCATCTTCTTCATTTGAGTCAAGGGCTGCTTGTGTGGATGCACGAGACAAGGCCCCTGTGGCACAACAATTTTCAACAATTTCCGTCATTTCTTGGAAATACTCAAATCCTTTTGTCCTAAACTTCATTACATTTCTGGTGGCCTACAACAATTGAGAATATAGAATTAAGCATACTGTATGTGTGATAAAATGTTAAATTTTTTTTTTTAAAAATGATACAGGTTAATGAAAAACCTTATCCCAAAATTCATCGGGTGCAACAACAGTGCCTACAATGGGATCCCATCCCAGCCCAGTCTGTGCCTGGAGTCGCTTAAATGTCTGGTAATCAGCTTTCAATCGCTGATATTTTTGTCCCACCTGTTTTGCTGTATACCGAAATCCATACAGATTGTGCAATTAATTTGCAAAATGATTCCAATGCCTAATTGTCCACACAGTAGTACGGCCCGTTGTTTGATTTTTTTTTTAACCTCTTCTCGCAACATGCTTATTAATTTCATTTCAATTCTGGGAGTCCACATTTTTGTATCTTGGTTGTTATCGGAATTGTTTCCATCCATCTATAAACATACAATTTATATTTAAACTACTCTGAGGTGGATATAAAAGAATAATAGAGCAAACTACTCTGAGTGGATAGAAAAAACATAAAGCAACACAGATAAAAAAATAAAACCACATAAGATTAATGTTTACTTCAACTTGTTAAATAATGTTATGAGAAGCAGCTAGTTTGAAGGACAACAGAGAGAAAACAAAAATAGATAACATCAATGTTTATTTCAACTTGAGGAAAGGCAGATGATTTGCAAAATAAAAATCACGTAACATTGTCTGTATTTACATGCTAAAAAAAGAACCACAAATAAGCAGTAGAAGAAGTCCACAAGAAGAAATAAGCAGCAGGAGGTCGACTGGCCGGATAACCCAGGGCACGATCGGCTTAGCTATAAAGGAGACAAAAGGTGCAAAGAGTTCAGATAGATTAGAAACTATCTCAAACTATCTCTATATTGGTTTGGACTTCTCAGAAATCATTTCAGAACTCATTTGGACTTCTCAGAAATCATTTGCACATCATAGATGGTTGAAGGATATATTTACCAGATTAGTGGGAGTTGAATAATTATCACCGGTGATGGAGTGCGTACAGTGACTGAATGTGCGTCGTCTGATTCGACAATAGGTTTGATAAATTTGACCTGAGACAAAAAACAATTGCGAATCAAATTAGGGATGATTTTTTCAAATCAGTGACCTATAAGAAAATATGTGAAATAAATTTGTGAGTTATTTAACCTCGCACTTGTCGTTGTTTGGTTGCCTGTAGAAGGAATCTTCCACAATGCACAAATTGTAAGTGACTTGATTTATGGGAGATGGTATGAGTAGGGAGCGGGTTCACAGGATTCATGATTTATAAAATGGTTTGAGTTCTCTGTGAATACTACTCGTGACGAATCTTCAGTCCTAATATTTGATACAGAGTGATATTTGATACAGAGAAAGAAAGATGAGTACATCAGTTCACGTGAACCTTTTCAGAGATGACGGACATAGAAGCTTTTTAGAAAGGAAGAGGAAGAAGGCTGACGTTGAAAGTGGAGAAATGAATCACAAAGCTGCCAAACGGGTTTTTAAATTGTAGTTTGAATTATATGGTGGAATTCTATTTTGAAAGTGGTATCCAAACGTGAAGCGGGAGTGATAGGGTAGAAATGTAATTTCAAAACACAACCAAACAGAGCCTTCCTCTTCCTTTCTGAAAAGTTTCCATGTCCATCGTCTCTAAAAAGGTTCACATGAACTAATGTACTCATCTTTCTTTCTCTGTATCAAATATCAGGATTGAAGATTCGTCACAGGTAGTATTCACAGAGAACTCAAACCATTTTATAAATCATGAATCCTGTGAACCTGCTCCCTACTCATACCATCTCCCACAAATCAAGTCACTTACAATTTGTGCGTTGTGGAAGATTACTTCTACGGGCAACCAAACAACGACAAGTGCAAGGTTAAATAACTCACAAATTTATTTCACATATTTTCTTATAAGTCACTGATTTGAAAAAATCATCCCTAATTTGATTCGCAATTGTTTTTTGTCTCAGGTCAAATTTATCAAACCTATTGTCGAATCAGACGACGCACATTCAGTCAATGTACGCACTCCATCACCGGTGATAATTATTCAACTCCCACTAATTTGGTAAATATATCATTCAATTATCTGTGATGTGCAAATGATTTTTGAGAAGTCCAAACCAGTATAGAGATAGTTTGAGATAGTTTCTGATCTGTCTGAACTCTTTGCACCTTTTGTCTCCTTTATAGCTGAGCCGGTCGTGCCTCGGGTTATCCGGCCGGTCAACCTCCTGCTGCTTATTTCTTCTTGTGGCCTTCTTCTACTGCTTATTTGTGGTTATTTTTTTAGTATGTAAATACAGACAATGTTACGTGACTTTTATTTTGCAAATCATCCGCCTTTCCTCCAGTTGAAATAAACATTGATGTTATCTATTTTTATTTTCTCTTTGTTGCCCTTCAAACTAGCTGCTTCTCATAACATTATTTAACAAGTTGAAGTAAACATTAATCTTATGTGGTTTTATTTTTTTATCTGTGTTGCTTTATGTTTTTTCTATCCACTCCAAAGTAGTTTGCTCTGTTATTCTTTTATATCCACCTCAAAGTAGTTTAAATATAAATTGTATGTTTATAGATGGATGGAAACAATTCCGATAACAACCAAGATACAAAAATGTGGACTCCCAAAATTGAAATGAAATTAATAAACATGTTGCGAGAAGAGGTTAAAAAAAATCAAACAACGGGCCGTACTACTGTGTGGACAATTAGGCATTGGAATCATTTTGCAAGTTAATTACCCAATCTGTATGGATTTTGGTATACAGCAAAGCAGGTGCGACAAAAATATCAGCGATTGAAAGCTGATTACTAGGCATTTAAGCGACTCCGGCACAGATTGGGCTGGGATGGGATCCCATTGTAGGCACTGTTGTTGCACCCGATGAATTTTGGGATAAGGTTTTTCATTAACCTGTATCATTTAAATTTTTTTTTTTTTAACATTTCATCACACATACAGTATGCTTAATTCTATATTCGCAATCGTTGTAGGCTACCAGAAATGTAAAGAAGTTTAGGACAAAAGGATTTGAGTATTTTCAAGAAATGATAGAAATTGTTGAAAATTGTTGTGCCACGGGGGCCTTGTCTCGTGTATCCACACAAGGAACCCTTGACTCAAATGAAGAAGATGACATGCTAAATAAATTTTGGAACCCTGAAGTTGGTGGGAGTAATGCTGCTGAAGCCATTCCTGTTGACTTATTCGGCGATGAGTACATAGATCTAGGGAAGGGCAAAAGTCACAAGTGGGGCCCTACAAGCAGCCAAACTGACAGTGGTCGTTCCAAAAAGTCACGATCAAGTGGATTCGATGATGTGTGCGCAGCTTTCACATCCTACATAAAGGCAAAAACAGAACATTCACGTGCACGAGAAAATGAGACAGAGGCTGTAAGTGCAGGTGGTGATGAGTATTCCCTTGATGCATGTCAAGATGCATTGCTAGAGCTTGGGGACATACCACCGGTACAATACGTTAGGGCACCGACACTGTTTAAAGATAAGGAATGGCGAAGGTTTTTTATGCGTACTCCTATCCATGTGTGCTTAGCTATGATCCTCGCTTTGCAGTGAAGTGAGAAGTTGTGTTTTGATTGTGTTAGCGAATCACCTTGTTGTTCTGCAAGATGATTTCATGATTCCTGATTTGTTTTTTATCATTTTTTTTTTCATTCCATGAGATGCTCTTTCTTTTCCTTCTTCGTATGTTTAATTTTATTGAACTTTTAAGTAGTTTCTGTTTTATTAAAAATATGTTATGTTATTACAAGATGCCTACATATTAAACAAATTTTCTTCTCGTATACATTTTAGTGGATGCTAGTGAATGACTACGGCCGACTATTGATGTGGCCACTTTTTAATTCAGTTTCACCAATAATGGTAAGCGTTACGATATTGTCAAATATTATTTTATAATTATGCTTTTACTGTGATGTAGACGAAACCATGTGTCATCCGACACAGAAAACAATGCAATGGAGATCTCATTAGAGGAGGATGAGGTTATTGAAGATTTTATGGATTTCTTGATGATTGCTTTCATGCATGACCATATCAACGCGTCAAGTAGTCGCCGACCGCAGCGAGCTTGTCCATTCAAATGTGATGATTACATCTTCAACTTATATCTAGAAACAATGATAGACATTATGCGAATGGATGCACAAACATTCATTTTATTGAAAGACACCTTACTCCAAAATGGCTTTATCGATACTGAACATATGCATATCAGTGTGGAGGAATTGCTTGGGATTTTTTTTATACACTTTTGCACAAAATGATCACCATCGACTACTGGCAGATAGGTTTCAACACTCCACAGAAACAATTTGTCGGCACATAAAAATTGTTATGCGAGCATTGTGCAAGCTTGCATCAACGGTTATCAAACCACGTAACCAAGACGAGATATTGGAAAAAATTTTAAATGATAAGAGGTTTTTTCCCTGGTTCAAGGTAAGAATTTAATGATTGTCCTGTAAGTTCTACTTAACAATAAGGGACGATATTTTTTTGGATCCGTTTGCATAAGTAATATCCAAGTTTGTTTCGCTTTTAATATCAAACAAATTTCTTTCAATTAGGATTGTGTCGGTGCTACCGATGACACATTGGTGGGTGCATGGGTCCCTGCTTCAAGACAAAATACATTCCGCGGTCTCAAATCTACGGTATCGCAAAATGTACTCGCAGCTTGCGACTTTGACATGTTGTTCACATTTATTAATTCTGGATGGGAAGGTAGTGCACACGACAACGCTATTTTAATTGACTCTATTACAAGAGCTGATCTACAGTTCCCACACCCACCCAATGGTGAGTGTCACGAAATAACATACGGTACACTTTTTGAAATTATTTTTTTGTACATCTGTTTGACAGAACAGTGCATTCATTATTTACATGTAGGGAAGTATTATTTTGTGGATGCTGGTTTTAAGAACATGCCTGGATTTCTTGTCCCATTTCATTCCCAATGCTATCACTTGCAAGAGTTTCATGGCCGTCATTATTCAGGACCCAAGGAATTGTTTAACCATCGACATTCGTCATTACGGAATGTCATAGAAAGAACATTTGGTGTTCTGAAGAAGTGATTCCCAATATTGCGGTCTATGCCAAATTACAAGTCTACAAGACAAGGCCCTCTCGTGATTGCATGTTGTGTAGTGCACAATTGGATCCGTTTGCATGCAGTAATGGACCTATTCTTCATGGAAGCTGATAATTAGTGAGTTCTGAGCAGCGGCAAATTTATCGAACTGAGTACCCAATGTATTGACCTGATTAGCCATTTTGTTGTTCCTATTGTAGGCGCTGATTGTACCATTCTTGTTCCAACGCTAAATAATTAGTCCAGTATTGAGGTTGTTCATTTGGTGACATGGCATTGTCATTGGGTTCTTCCTCATCAGGTGTTGGTGCATTTTCAAAATTAATAGAGCCCAATAAGTTGTCAGCACCACCAGCTCGGGTCAGTGTGTACTCAGAAATTGGTGAAGTGATTCTCACATCTACTTCACCTTCAAGGTTGACATGATACGCTCTGAAAATTTTGGTTAACAAAGCTCCAAAAGGCAGTGACTGGCCACTCAGAGTACCAAGTTTTGCAACCATCATTTCTCTCAGTAATATGAAGCATAAATCTAATTTTTGTCCAATTTCAAAATAATATAACAAATAAACATTAAAATATGGAACAACATCAAAATGTCCTTTTTTGGGAGTGACATATCAACTATCCATCGATGAAGAATACGAAGGTGGGGTTTTAAATGTCTGGCTTGTAAATTAGTGCCGGTGAATCGGCTTTCACAAATTATGGTATAAACATCAGTTAGATCCTCAACAATGTTAGCTAACTGAGCCTCAGTTTGAAAATAACATTGCAAATCTCTTGTTTCAACTCTAATAATTTGTGCCAAAGTGCGGCGGTTGAGTGTGATTACTTTCCCCTTCACATAAAAGGTCAGACTGAACGGTTCCACCTGTTGTTCAGCAGATGTTAAGTGAACGTAAAATAAATTTACAAGACGGGGATATACCTTATGTGGTAAATTAGTTAAAGGTAACCATCCCATTATATCCAATCTGCCAAGCAACAGTGGATTATATTGAGAATGTAGATTTACCTTTCTTCCCATACTAATTGGTCAATTAGCGAAATTTGAATAGACTTGTTCATGATTATATGTGAGAAAATCATCAGTTGGATAGTCATGATGTTGTTGCTGTGGTTCACGTTGTACAGGGTTAGAGGTTTCGCTACGTTCGAGTCTAGCTCTTTTTGTTCTCGGCATGATGACTGCAAAAGTTAAGAAAAATGTATGCAAAAGTTAAGAAAAAACTATGAAAAATGTGTAGTAAAATGTATGATATTGGGTGTGAAGTTAAGAAAAATGTATTATGTTGGTGCGAAAAAAGGAACAGATAGGCAACAGATAGCGAAACTGGATGCAGAGGGCGAACTGGTGGCTGAACCGGATGACCGGCGGGATGACCGGCCAGTTGACCAGCGGGATGACCAGCCAGTTGTCCCTGGTGGCTGTTCTTCTCCTGCAATTCGTCTCCCTGCAACTCAGCTCTCAAGCTATCAAGAATATGAACTGTGCTTCAAACTAACCTCTTCTCTCTTCCTTCACACGAATATGTACACTGAATGTACTTAATATTATAGTGTGATAGAGTTGCTGAAGGTGTTGGAATGAGATAGTGAAGATGGTGTGTTGGAATGAGATGGTGAAGATGGTGCAGACTCAGATCTTATATAGAGGCTGAGGTTCAGAAGATCCAGAAGGTTTTTTTTTTTAATTTTTTTTTTCTTATTTACTTTTCATTTCTTACTGATTTTTTTTTTTTTGTTTTCCTTATTTTTAATTACATCCGTATACTGACCATGTGTGCAGGTTTTTGGCATCGTCTTTCTTTTCCTTTATTCCATAGTGATGAACAGACACCCAAGATAGTAGGGGTAGGCGTGTTGGATAAGTGAAATTACAATATTATCCTTTTCATTTTGTTCTTACATAACAACCTGCCATTCAAATCAAGAGCGGCAAATTGGTCATTTCATACACAAATATCACTCCCCCCAATTATATGACCTTCACTTCGCGGGTGGGTGACATTCAAAGTACAATAATGCATGCACAAAAAGAAACGAGTTTTTTATTAAATTAATAAAATGTAATAAATGAAAAAGTAATGAAAATGTTTGGTAATGTTTACGTTTCGATTTGTATTTAAAAATATTAAACACACTGATTTATGTTAATTGTTATCAATATGTATTCTCCAAAGTTGTTGACTTCAACAAAATTTTTGAAAAAAATTAAAAACGTATTGTACAAAATGTTTGCACAGGCCTAAAAAATGAATTTATAGAAAAATTAATTGACACAAAATAATTGACCTAGAAGTTATTTAAAAAAAAATTATTTGACAAAAAAAATTATTCAAAAAAATTACTTAAAAACAATTAATTGAAAAAAAATTATTTTTTAATTTGAGTATTTTAAAAATAGTTTGGTTATGACTGTTGATCAAAAATATGGATATCGATATATGAGTTGTGTGTTTGATTATCAATTAAAGGTTGAATTAAGTTCTGAAAACTATTTTGAAAACTCATCACCAAACAAATTTTCTTCTTTTACATGTCACATCAAACTCTCAAAACTCAATTCCACATACAATTCAAAACACAATTCAACACTCTATTAAAAAACCATAACCAAACAAATTTTCTACACTCAAATCATAACTCTACAACTCACAAACTCAAAATACAACTCATACTCTCAAATCATATTTACAAACTCTAGCAAACGCAACCTAAGTTTTTTCAACCCTACTTATTGTGCACGAGGCTTAGTTTGGTTTGACACTAAGCAACCTTATAAAAAAATAAATAAATAAATAAAAGAATAGAGAGGTTGGAGATGGTGTGATAGTGAAAAATAGTATAAATTTATTTAATTTAACTTTAGCATATAGCCATTGATAGAGAGAAATGGCTAAAAAGGATTCACATCAACCCCACTTATTGTGCACAAGGCTTAGTTTGCTTAGATTTAAATAATTAATAGATCGTACATTAAAAAGATATGGACAATAAGAGTTAACTTAGGATGAGGTATTGAAGGGTAAATTACACTAACCTCCCTTGAGGTTTGGAGAAAATACAAGTCGTCCTATAGTTTTGGAATAATTTTGCTGACTTCCCTTTTAGTAAGGCTAAAGAGACCGAAACTAATGCAAATAGTATGTAGACACACAAGGCTAAATAAGGAAAAATATACATTTTAGTGTGGAAGTTAGACATTATTTTTCCATCCATATGACTAATGAATTATTGATGAAAGGGACTAAAGTGTTATGTGAATTAAACCTCAAGGGAGCCCAATATAATTATGTCAAAACTGTGGGACTTTATGTATCTAAGATAGGGCGACGCCAAAAAGCCGTATAGTGGAGGAACCCTCACATTTTTTTGGTTTACTCTTTTTCCCTTTTATTTCCAAATCCAGCTCACTCTCGGCTACGTGTCCTTTGGACCCTTCGCCCGCTTAGAAGTGGATTCAAACTGCTTACACAAGGATTTTCAGTCCTTTGCTTTTTTCCAAACTTTAGGGGCAGTAAGTGCAAGTTACCCTATATTGAACTAGTGCTAGTTTTTGTTAATTTTGATTGTATGTGAATGTAATATTAATATGCATAGCAAATAAATATATATAATAATAAAAAATTATTATCATAACCCTGCCATGTTTGTGACCATATTTTTTTTGAAATCATTGTGTCCCGCATCCGTGTTTGCGTCCACATCTATGTTTGTTGGAACAATCTTCTGTGTATATAAAATAACTTGAAATAAATTCAAACAAAATAAATAAATAACATACCAGATTTATTTATCGAACCGAATTAAAATTAAGACCAAGTCGAGTGTATGACACTCTGTCCTCAAGACAGATTCGCCGCGCTACGGTACTTACGGTTGAGTGGCGTCTATCTCTCAAGATACAATGATCTTCACAAACTATAGTAGTACTCCAAACAATTTGTTTGGCGAATCAAACCTGTGATCTATACTCTCTTTAATTTATTCTAAAACTAAATATAAAGAATAAATGCACTAGGAAAAAATTGGACAGCAAAAAGACAAAATTATAGACTAATTTTTCATACCCAAGACTGTTGGAAATACCAAGTATTTATAGGTAACAACAATGGACCCGAAAAGGTGCAATATGGTAATGAACAGGTGCCCAACCTATTTGACCGTTGGAACATCTGAACATATTATTCAAACTTTTGAATAAGAAACCGTTGGTCAACAATAAAAACATGTAGAACTTTATTATTTACTTAAACTATTTCAAATATATATATATATATATATATTAAACTATTGAAATAGTTAAATAAATAAATAAATGATGAGGTACAAACTTTAGGAAACTTTTTAAGAACCTAAAATTTGAATTTAGAATTAAATTAAATTCTCACAATTACAAATTTTAGGAAACCACTTAGGAACTCAAAATTTTAATTTAGAATTAAATTAAATTCCCATAATAATTTTTTATTGAAAAAATTCAAAAGAATTTTATCTAAAAAATTAATGTTAGACCCGAAATCGACGTCAACTTCCCATTCACTCATAAATGGTTTTGACGTTCCGTTTTCACCGTGTGACTTGGCACGCGGCAAGGAACACGTCACCTCTTCGGACCTACCCCAAACGTTGTTTGGGCCCACTCAAATTAGGGCTCAAAAATATGCCTATATTAAACCATTTTTCCAACAATCCCCCACATGAATGGAATTTGACGGAGAGAAAATGCAACAACATGATCTAATTACAGAGAGTACAGAAATTGGAAATATTCTACAAAGGATAGGTAGCTTTTGGCTTTGAACCTTTCCTTGTGAGAAACTATCGGATTTACTAGCTAACTAGTGAACATGATGCCTTGAACTGTTCAGCCGTTTGTGTAAACCAAGACAATAGAACTTACATAGTATGTCCCTAGACACAGTTTAGTTCTCACTATTGTGTTCATTTTGGCCCTGAACAACCTGGTCTTCATGA